CCAACAGCTTCTCACCATCATGGCATTGCCCTGTCAGAATGCATGAGTTATGCTGTAGGCCAAACTTGCTATGGAATTATTTGCTCTGATTTTAAAACTGCTGTGGCAATATTAGAACAAAAGTTATTGTGAGTCTAGTCAACTTAAAATCCGGCCTAATGTTTATCTTCCTTTCTGCTCCCCAAACTGCCAGGCTCCTCTCTGCTTCTATGCATGTCCCTTCACTCCAAGGATTATGTTTATGGGACATTCATTTTTAAATGCTTCATTTAATAAAATCTATTTTCAGGTTATAGTAAACACTGTTTCATTAAATAAATAATAAGCTTAATTTGCTTAACCTTATGTTAACAACAACTTCCACCTTTGAAGACAAATAGACAAGTTAGTGAAAGGGCTACATGTATCAAATAATACTGCTTGAACAGTTTGCTTTCTAAAAGGGACAAATATTCCTGCACTGTGCAAACTATTTTTGGCCTGTTGCAAAACATGCTCAAGAACCGTAGCAATATCTCGATTACAGCTCTGAACAGAAATTAAGAACACTGACTTGACAAGAAGTGTTTGAATTCACGAGATTTGGAGTGCTCATTATAGCTGACATAAAACTGCTTTTAGTGTAGCGACGGTCAGGCTTCCTAATAAAATGTGCAAATGATTTACATTACACTAATGTGCACTGGATAGCCCTCTGCTCACACAGCCTGTCTCCACCTTGTTCACATTTCTCAAATGAAAGTGCAAAACCAACAGCACTACTTTATCATGTTAATTGTTAACTATGAAGGGTTTCACTCTATTAATTAAAATATGTTTTAATAAAAGGAAACCTAGTACATTTTGATAACAGACTTCCAAGGCTGAAAAGTATTTACATTGTTGCATTTTAGGGCTGCTGTGAAAGCCGATTTTGTGCCATTCAGGGACCACAATAATAACGCTTTAAAATTCCTCACTGGGATCCAATGTAGTCCTTTTGATAAAAAGACTGTCTTTCTCATTCGGCAGAAATAAATCCATTCATTTGATCATGTAGTCATTGAGGGCAATACAAAACAAACCAAGTGTGAGAAATTCTATGTGATGAAGTAAACAAAACAAAACCCCCCCAAAAAAGGGGGGAAAAAAAAACCCCAAACATTTCCATGACAAAAAGATTCTTTGTCCTTAATCTACCCACCATATGCAAGCGTTTCTTTTTAGCATATCTCTTGTTCTAATCTCGGGTGACATGGCTACACAGATAAGATTCACAAAACAAAACAAAACCCTAATTTAACAATTTTTTTTTTCAATATATTAACTCAGCAAGAGTGTTATAATGAAGTAGTGGAGTTTTATTTTTCGGTATCGAAATGGATTCAGAGCGTGTAAAAGTTTCTAAGATACTATGGGTAAATTCTTAGACCTAGAACCCACCCCAAGAGAGCCTGGGCTCAACATACCTTGTTTGCATGATAAAATACTAATTCTCATCTGCTCGCCTCGATTAATTTATTTTGCACAACCACTGTTTCCTAAGGAAAACATAAATTATTTCTGAAAACGAACTGCTTTGCTACTCTGCTGCGACAGAAGAAAAGCATTTCTCTGTGTGTCTGTTGTTGTCAACACCCAAGTGGGGTTTCCTGGAGCAGTGGCAGCAGCCCCCTTCCCAGCCCTGCACAGTAAGAGACTCACTCCAGTGTGAGGCTCACCAAACACCCTGGGAAGGAGCAGAAGGCTTAACGATTTGTCAGCCTGACAGATGTTTTAACCTGATGAAGTGGATTCACGCTGCCTTAAGCTTCAGGTCTGCAAAGTTCAGATACAATAGTCAAAATCCTCCCCAGGCTTCAACTTTGCTGCCTTTCTCTTCCCACAGATGCAACTGAAAAGTCATTCGAGTTCTGAAGCAGGAGAATGACTCTTTTCTTTTCCGAGGCAGGAAGAGGGGCGATAAAACAGCGGAGCAAGGGGCCTGGGCAGAAAATACTGGGGCTCCCACTTGGTTACGGGAGAAACTAAGCAAGCTGTGGGCTCTACGCGAAGAGGAAAAGAAAAACTTTCAAGTGGAAGCTCTTAGCACAGCAAATGTGAGCAGGGCCGGGACATGCCTTTGCACGCTGCGATGCCACAGCCTGCTAAGGAAATTAAAACGGGGAGGTGGGGGGGGAATGAAAGAAAAACGGGGAAAAAAAGAAGAGACAATAAATGCAGAAAAAACACACTGCAGCCGCCTCCTCGAAGGAAAAAAAAAAAAAGTACGGCCAAGTGGAAATCAGGAGGGGCTGCAGCCCCGATCTTTCCAGGCTTGGACACTTGTTCACTAGCGGCCTGGGCAGCCCAGATGCAGCAGAGCAGGCGTTGTGTGGCTGCGTGTGGGCAGGGAGCGCAGAATGGCGGATGGGGGAGAGAATAAACCTTT